AAGATAAAATAAATAAGATCAAAATAAATACAAATAAAACACAATTAAAAAAAAAAAAAAAAACTTAGGGGAATAAAAGCAATCTCTGTGATAAAAACCAGGATAAGAACATATAATTTAATTTAAAAGTCACAATGATAGATAGATAGAGCTAAGAAATAAAATAGGTCGAATATAAATAAAGTGCAAATGTCACTACTTCTTAATGAACTCAAACAAAGAAATAAATAATAATAACTCTGGTGTCTTGTATAATTATGATTTGAAATGCACTGCTTTTTTGGTTTTTTTTAGATTTACCAGACACATTAGGCGTATTTGCACAAAGCATCAATATCAGATCGATATCGCTGATACCAGCCTATCAGATGGAAAGGAAGTTGGTGGTATCAGACAGGCCAGCTGACAGCCTTCCCTGGGCCCGGGACAAGATGATATTAGATGCTCCCCCCCCCCCACACATCTCCCCTTTTCTTTGCTCTTCCTCTCCTGTTCCTCTCCGCACCTGCTCCTCACCTTGCCTCCTCTTATTCTCCTCTATTCTGCTTTCTTTACATCTCTTCCATCCATCCTGCTCAGACTGTCCGACTGGGCAGCAAGACCCTCCCGCTGCACTTTGACGCTCCCTCTCTCAGTCTCATCCGTGGTCTGACTCTGTCCCTCTGTTGTGGACCAGCTGGCCCCTTCCTCCTCATCTCTGTTACCTGACGGCAGGTGGATCTCTCGCCTCGGCCTCTCTGTCTCATCCTCTCTGACGGAGCCACTAAACTCGTCCGTTTCTGTCAAACAAACCGTGTTTTGTCAGGATTTTTAGCTAACGGATATTAAGAGCTAGCCAAAAACCGTTACAAGGCTGACAAACGTTGGCTCCGCCGTTTCTTACCTCGCTCTACGTTGACTTTACTAGTTCTAGCTTCGTTGTCACCATCTTTTTTAAAGTATTTTTTAAGCAAATCTCTAAGGCCTCTGTTTTCTTCCTCTCTTTTTCTCTTCGTTTTCCTTTTCTGAGCACCAGACTTCTGCTGAGCGGACATTTTGGTGCTGAAGTGCAAAATCCCAACTTCCAATAAAAGGACATCAGACGTTGATCAGGGGCCAAACCATTTAATGTTGGAGGTGGGGGTGGAGGGCAACTCCAAAGATATTAAGGACAGTTCAGACGAAAACAAATTAAAACTTCTAACTCAAATATTGCACTGTTTCTTTCCATTAATAGCCCTTCTTTGGGGGGAAAAAAATCCATAATTCAATGAGGGTCCAGTTCTGGGCCCCCCACCCCACTCTGGGCCCGGGACAACAGACCCGTTTGTCGCCCCCTATCAGCGGGGGTGGTTTAGACCATTAGAGTTCTCCGTTATTTCAGGTAATATCGGTGTGCAGTTACAAGAACAGTGTGTAGAGAGGTTGTTTCTGGAGCATGTTTACATCCAAACACTCATTCAAGTTGCTTTTACACAGTAATCCCAAAAACTGAAACATAAGTAGACTTCAGAGCAGCTTCTTCCTCCAACCTGTGAGCCTTCTACACACAAACTGTCACACACACACACACAAGGCCTTGTGGCGAATGATGGCTTGAGCTTTCTCTTCATTACTTCTGGGCTGCTGTGCTAACTTCCTCAGCTATGCACTGCAGCAGCAGTTGTGCACTACGTTATTTAAAGAATCCATCCATCCATCATCTATACACCGCTTCATCCTCACTAGGGTCATGGGGGGCTGGAGTCTATCCCAGCTGAC